GTTGCTTCTTTTCGCAGCTCCTTTGTGACCAATTGTCTGCAATCTAGTTGAATCTTCTTCTAAGTCAAATGATTCTGTAGTATATGAATAGTATAGTTTATCGCTGTCATACTTTATTTCAATTAAAGTTCGTTGTTTTTAATGTTCAGTAATTGCAACTTTTTGAAAAGATAAGATAACAAGATGATGACTACTCTCCGACCAGTCAATAGAAACAAGCGATAGATTTTTAGCGCAATACCTTTATCAAAAAATAATGATTCTATGACGCAAGTTGATCTTGGTACCGAGGCAGTAAAACGAGAACGCTCTCACCAATACTCATAGGAATCAGTGAATTCAAACAAAGTTCAATTGAATTCCGTACAGATAAAAGAATAGTGGATGCTGAATGATCTATGCTCATCAATAGTAACATGTTCTCAATATTCTAGAAACACATTGTCATTCAATATGAAAGTCAATCCACAGATGTACCAAAATTGAATTATGGTCGACCACCTGTCCAGTAGTGCACAAAGCATACAAATATCAGGGGAAAATTGATGCTTTGCTGCAATTCGGATTCTCACGTAGTGATTCTCGAATGAATTGATCTTCGACTTGATTCTACGTAACCCAAATAATACTCTGCAAATCATCCTTTTAGAGTAAAGACTAAATTATTTTAGACAATTCAAGATAATCTTGGACAATTCGATTCTGGATCAAGCATACAGGGTTCCTAAAGACCACATAAAACACTGCTTCGAATATAAAGACTCTGTACATACAACAGCAAGATTTCAAGTGCAAAGGTACAAAGTCTTTATCAACTCGACAACTAGTGGTCAATAAAGTATCAATTCTACCTTAAAGAAGCCATCTTATAAAAACACTATCTAACAGAAACTCTATTGGATAACCCAATGTCTACATAATGACAATTCAACCAACTCTCTCTAAGATACCCCTAAAAAGATAACATTGTATTTTAGTCTTACGACCAACTAATTGGCTTTGAATGGAAACATTGATTCAACCTTTTGTGCATCGAGTTGTGCCGTTATCTTATCTAACGCATTGACTCCATTCATTACTAGGGCTGTATTTCAATATTCAACTTTGAACGGTTCTAACAATCAACGCATTTAGATGAGAATACTTGAAAAAAGATTGAAATCTGATATTAGATTCTTGTCTGCCAAATGACTATACCTTACTCAGTAATGCATGGTTGGAACGAAATGATATAACTAAAGGTACTTTAAAACAAGTAGTTATCATTTGAATCAAATACAGTGCAACAAATATATCTAAATAAACAACCAGTTAATATCAAAATATATAAACTAGTAGTAACATATTCGTGGCGCTGCAAAGATGTAATGCGATTCATCGCTTGAGTCGATTCGCGAAGCTATCTAGGATGAAACGATCAAGAAAAACATATCCGGTATCGCAAATAAAGTGCAAGTATCGCGGAGTAATAATTGGACACTCAAACACTTCCAAGTTTTTCTCAAACCAAGTCTTCATCTCCCTAGTATTCTGTATCCTTAGTAATAATGCTACTATTAATACTATATGGAAAATCGTTTTTCTCGGGATACGGACTAACTCGTTCGATAAATTCAGTATAATCTCTAAGAATTCAAAAGTTGAATCAACCATAGAGGACATTTCATTTACTTATGAGAAAGAATTTCATCTTGATGAGATATTCGACTAACAATCAACAAATGACCAACTCTTACACAAAATGTCAGCTTAGATGAGCAGTATCAAGAAATATCTTACTTTCTTTCCATTGAACAGTAAACCATTGAATTCAGTATACAATTCAAGTAATATAAAACAGTAACCAGTTTCTAGATACGTTGAGAAGGAAGAAACCAAATAAACCTTTTGTTACGTATCTACTAGAATAATTGTGCCGTGTCCCGTTGAGATTTAACTAGAAGTGGTAAGATTCAGAGTATTCTAAAGCAAGTGATTATTACTTCCTTCAATACAGCTGTAACCAGAATTGTTTCGGATATCAATCTGAAATAAGATTCAAATTCAACTCATCAATAGAAACGAGGTATTTTTACGGCATAAATACATTGTCACTTGCCACTTGAATCAATTGTAGTAATAGTCCAAGATTACCACCAAAGGTTGCGAAAAGGTTCGAGCATCAAAGGATATACAAAAAGGTCCTGAAATTAGAGCAGGACTAGTAGTTTGTGTTTTGCTGCTACCTGTGTAAAAATCTCAGAATTGATTCTGCTTTTTGTGAGGATCAACCTCAAAATCTATAAATCGTAGGTCTGATATTCTAACCCTGTGAAGCCAGGGTAGCATTCATTTACTTCTTTTCCTTGAATTTCTTTCAACTAACCTTTCTATATTATGCAATTGAAAAGTATATACTATGTAAAACATAAATTTCTGTCCTTTATAACAATTCGTATGAATAAGGGAAAACAACCAGTATTTCGTGTTAAGACAAGTTCAATTTCTATTCCCAGCAAATCGTTTGTACAGAACTTTGTCTGCAATATAGTTGATTCTTTCTTTGAATTTACATCATCCCGCAGTCTTCAAATACTACTTTTTATCATATTCATCTCTTTTCTTGTAAGAACATATTACAACTCTAAAAAACAAGATCTTCACCATTCTACAATTACGCCGATAAAGAAGAGAAAAGACGAAATAAAGATATTTCCCTATCCTTATCGACTAGACAAACTTCTTATGAAGCTGGTCTTAGGGTCGAACAAGTAAGATGGAAATGTTCTGGAGCACAAATAATCATATGATGGTTTCAACATAAGAGCATTGCAATATGTTTAGATAAATCAATAGTAAATTCTAGATCACATAAAACAGTATGCTGTACACTTTCATGATGCTGCAAGTTCACTTGTCAAAGATTACTCGATTCAGCTAACGAAATTGTCTCGAATTGATCATTTGGACTATCAATTGCCCACTCCTCCAAAAGCAATACAACTATCACGGGACAAAGAGATTCTATGTGATCGGGAATTCCAATGAAAAAAGCTTCTGAAAGGTTGTACGTCGACGTTTTCGGAAAAGAAATGACGACTAGTTGCTTCATCATACTATCATGCGATAGCAAATAAGTTCGTTTCAAGAATCAAAAGATAAAGATTGGTCTCAAACAGGTACAAGCCAAAATCGAAAATCGACGAGTAAAGCAACTCGATACTCTATTTGTTGTTCAAAATCAGAACCGTAAGTAGTTCTACTGATAGTAAGGTACAGGAATAGTCGTAAGTGTGCGAATAATGCTTTTTTATTTTGTAAACTCGACAATACAATTTTCCTTTATGGTAAAAAATAGGTCAAATTCGTACTTTTATGACAAAAACTATTATTAATATTCCTGTACCACTAACCAATACAATATGACTTTCTCTTGTTTGTTGTTGTCGTTGCTGTCACTTTACAATTCGAAGCAAATAAAACAATTGCAATTCTCCACTCATGCCAACAACGAAGAAAACAGTAAAAGATAGAAACACAAGTCATTCTCTTTGTAGAATTGTTGACTATGCCATACTGTACTAGGCTCGGGCTCATATTTGTTGTTGTTGCTGTTCTGGTTGAATTTCAAGTAGTGGCGAATGGTTTGATTTTACTGCGATAATAGAAAAATGTTTTAGGTTCGTGTCAATGTATTTGCAAACTACTTTGTTCGTCTGCGTATGCTTTCTAGGAATTATCTACCAAAGTTGGACTTTATTTTCAGAGTCAAACCAAAAACTCTAGTAGGACACGATGATATCAATGTGTGCACTTGTGTAATATTGTAGAAGTTCAACCAATCCTTCGTGAGTTTCTTTCAGAGCTACTTTGTATACTATCCAAACGCAACCTGTTTGCACAAAATGTTGTGTCTCCTTTTCACTTTTTGACAGCTACAACTACCACTACTTTCAACAGCATGACTTTCAGTGTGTTGGGAAAAAAACAGATCAGCAGCACACTTGACACGCAAATACTGTTTCACACAAGTCGCCTTGTTTCCCATTCACACCGTACTACTGTTACCCTCCTATTCAACTATATAAGGACCAAATACGCTTTGCAATAGATGCCTTTCAGAAACAACAGCAATACTGGTTACACCACTATCACTCTTACGACTTACATATCCTTTTAAACATATTTCACCTTCAGCAAACCAATAATTCATAAAAACAAAGGCGTTTCTCAAAACGGACTAGTAGCTACAGTCGCTATCGTCAAAACATTTTACCAGGTGGACATAACCATGACTTTCAGCAATGCTCTTTTGCTTGCTTTATTTCACGGTTCCCAACAAGTTGAGTATATTTTGAACTAAAAACTGTTCCCTTGCTTTCAAAATACAAGTTTATTCAGCTTTCGTTATCTAAAGACCCACATCCATAATATTTCAAAAGACATACTCGTATCAATAGAGAATTGATCTAAAAGCACAACAATACAAACAGCCATTAAAAATGTGCAATGATGGACTCAAGACTTTCCTATGCTATTCTGAGAAATGCCTGTTGCAGAGTTACAGACCGATTTCTCCATCGTGAAAAGAGTCATATAGAAGGCAAAAAACTAACATACAAAAAGTAACGCTGTGTACTGAACAAAACACTCAACTGAGTGTCTAACTGGTTTCTTGTTCTTGCAGAATATCTTTGAAATATCAACCCAAAGACTGTTTCTCAACAACAGACTACAAGACTAGACTGTCAACTGCTAATAAATACGCAAAACTGCTCTGTAACAATTATAGATAGAAATAAACAAACTTGTGAGACAACTAATTGATTCCTTTGTCTTTGCTCTCTTCTCGACAACGCTAATCTCAAATTTCCATACAAGACCACAAGTGAAATAACAACAAGTGTTGCATAAAGTATATAAACTCCAAAGAGATAATAAAAGTTGTAAATACTAAAAAGAAACTACAGTCTACATGGAACTCAGAGCTCAGGACTCGATGGACTGTTCTAAAAGAAACATTTGAAGGGCTTAAAAAAGAAACGTAGATAATAGAAATTCACTTGTCCAACTAAAACGAACGAAGAATTCGTTTTAGAAATTAAAGTCTGAAAAGTTTCACTAGCAAACTTGAATCAGGTCCACAGCCTTGACAACACTCACTGAGCCTTCCTTTTCATCCAACAATCAAACCATTGTGTTGATTTCTAATTGGATTGTTATGAGAAGGATCGCTTTGTATTCTCTCCTTTCACTGGAGATATATTATTTAAAGTGACTAGTGAGTTTTATGAAAGAAAATATTCCACTTGGAGATGTGTAAAAAGGTTCTGGAACAATAAGTGTGCTAGATACAATCAATCTCACATCTCAGTATTGTTGTGAAACGAGAAGAACAGTGTCGTAACAAAGGTCCTCTCAACTCCCTAGCGACAATGTAGCCCTTTAACAGAGTTGAGTTTGATCAATCTTGTCTCTGCAAGGTAAATTTTAAACTACTTGTGACCCTATTTTGATAACAAATCAAGAACAGGTTTTGCTACAACTAGTTTTTGACTCGTTCTCGATGAGAACCTTTCTTTGTTGGTCACTCAAAATTAAGGAAAACTCCTTAAAGGTGTAAAATGGTCATTTTCTAATTTCAGTGACATTAACTCTGTTTGGCTTGCAATGAGAGAACTAGAACCTTCTATGCAAATTACGCTCAAGGAGCAATCTTTGTTCGATTACGAGTTATAAAGAAGAATAAATTGTATATTCAACTCTAGAATTGGAAAGTATACAGAGGACAAGGCTACAACAAAAAACTGACCAAAGGTTGGGAATACTTTTGTCTATACACAAATTCGTACATAAACTACTTACGTCAAGGAGGATCGAACCTCAAACGGTTCAAGGCTATTGGTTCGTTCTCCACCTAAAGAACTTTTTGAGACTTTTTGACTAGTATAACAACGGTAAAAGTGGTGATGCTTTCGCTTCTCCTTGCACTTATATTTCAAGATTCACTTTCTTTGTTACTTTGCCAAGAGAGATGAAAGATTCTTATTTTTCCATTATTTCTACGTTTATATTCTTTTCTTTTCACTAGTAGACGAAATTGATCCAATATATTTAAGAGAGCAAGACCTTTACCAGTTTGGATAACAACCAAAATATCATTTAAGATTTGACTCAACAAAGGAATCAGATAAATTGTTTTATCTTATTCTGCTGAATATTGTTTGCGAGTTGACGACATTTTTATTCTCTGTAGAGCAACTTGGATAAGAAAGCGTTTCTCTTCTTTTTCAAGTTTGACATGTCCCTAGTAGAAATGAACATTCCTTCTATTGATAGACCCGTTTTTTATACGAAACGTTCTTGTCACAAATATCCAAAAGGAAGCCTCTACTAGTGTACCCATCAGGTTATATTTCTCAAGAGTCTTCTTTCAAGTGCCTAACGCAAGGAACTTTTGTATAGTGACTCACTTATTCAATGAGCTGATGGTTGAGAGTGGAAGAAGATTAGTAGTATTCATCTGGACAAATCGTTCTTTGAATATGCTGAGCTTTTAAAAGTTTTACTTTTTTTTATATTGGAAGAGATAATAGCCCTCTTGGAGTTATATCGTTCCTAAAGCAGCTTTGTATTCTTTATAGTTTGCTTTCTTGTATATCTCTAAAAGTTGTGGTTTTTACAAAGTTTATCGTGCAAGAGGATGCAGCAAAAGCTTTAATCCTAAACAGTCATGTTTACCTTCAAAAACACCTCAACTGTATAGTCGACTATTGAGGAGAAGGAATTCAACTATGATTCAAATGTTATGCAATGACAAGATACGAGAAAAGAATCGATAGAATAGACTCAATTTGACTGAATTGAATTTTTCTTGAAAGTATATTTTCTCCTATCAAATGCCACTATTTTCAGAGGAGAAAGAAACAGGAGTTATTGACTCTTACAGAAATTGAGTATTGATGATACACTTGTGTGAGTCAATGTTGTTTCTGAGTTTTGATAACACCACGAGATATTTTGGATCCTTCTTTGCACGTTTGTCATGATATCGTAAGAAAGGAATTTGATGATTGCTGAGAATAAAGCAGTGCTGTGCTTGTGAGTTTCTGCATTTCTACTAAATAATATATTTCAACTGGAGCTTTTGAATAGACTACACAAGAGAATGACTTGGTTCATACACTAGTTCCGTGTTTCGAAATGAAGCAAAAGTGACGTAAAAACTGTTCCATAAAATACAGAAAATCTAGAGAGAGACGTCTATGGAACAAATTCTTCATGAACAATCTATATTGCTCGAAACTCTCATGACTACTCTCGAAAATTCTGAAAGAAACTTTCTTATCTATGTGAGAATGGGCCATGTTTAATAGCTTTATACTCTCAAAGAGCATAAAAAACTTGTGAAATAAACATTGGCTTTCTTCCGATCCTCCTTGTACCCTATGAGAGTTACCATTATATTAGCATACGAGAATAAAAATATCGATAGTTGAAAAAGCCATATTGATCGTTCTTGCCATAGTTGTAGTCATCTCAGTCCAAGCCATAAAGGGTATGACAAAGTCATCAGTTGATAAAGAGAAGAAGTTGGATTGGTATCCTTTACTGTTTTCCTTGTTGTTGTTGTGACCGACAAACAGTCAATCGTTAATTTGTTTATATACGAATCAAGCTGA